TTATATTTATCTTTATAATAATAAAAAATAATAATATTTATTAAAATTCGTTAGAAAAATAAAATTATTTCTCAATTGATATATTTATATTTAGTAAAGTTATATAGTGTAAGTTAAAAAATTAGTATAATATAACACAAGTAAGTTGCACAAATAAAAAATATCATAATAAATATATATATATATATATATATATATATTCTTATAAAAGTTATTTAAATTTTCAAACTACTTTTTCTCATTAATTTTAAATTTTAAGAAAAAAATTAGCAAATACCCGTGTAATACACGGGTGTTGTACTAGTTGAGAAATAACTTCAAATTAAATAGTTTTACGACAAAATAAATACATGTACTGCGAGGTATTTAAATAAATAAATAAATAACATAATACGACATAACACCCCATTTACTCTTGACCTTCTGGAGTTGAGCTAATTAAGGATTTCTATTTCTTTTTTTCCTCTGCAAGAAACCATGGCTCTCCGAAGATTGGCCGCCGCGGCCGTCGCCGGATTAAAGCCCCGTTCAAGCCCACCGCTCACAGCCATGACCCGGCTCTTACATCGCGATCCTTCATCCGGCGTCCGCCGTTTCGGCACTCCGGCGCTCGGCCGCAATCTGGAGCAGAACAACAGCAACAACAACGCCGCCGCCGCCGCCGCCGAGGAAAATTTTATTCTACTGGTGCAGCCGATTAAAAACAGAAAACACCACAAGATATCGATGCTCTCAATCGAAAACAAATTGGTCAAATCAGTTCAACCCAATCGCCCCAACTTCTCTCGCCTGAATAGCCGCGGCACACGCAATGAATTCCTTGCCAACTGCGACAAGTGGTTGGTGTTTGCCTCCGGCGGCTGGCGTACCAAAATTCCGGCCGAGATCATGTGGGACCCCACCACCGACGAGGTCAGACACATTCCTCAATTCCCGATGAAACCGCGGCTGCCCTCATCTGGTGACTCTCCGTATACCCTTTGGGGTGTTGGGTTCGATTCTGACTCCGGTGACTATAAGGTGGTCCGGGCTTCAAATGAAAAACGGGCCGAGCTCCTATCGCTCTCCACCGGCTTGTGGAGGGAAATACGGTTCCCTCACAATCCGGACAAAATAGTTGTCGATAACGTGCGTTCAGTTCACGTAAACGGTTTTTACTATTGGTCCGTGCATTCAAAGGACGATAACCGTGATGCTATTCTTCAGTTCGATTTCGGGTGCCAAGAGTTTTCGTCCGATCTCATTCACATGCCGAAAGTCCCTAGTAATCGGGCAGGGCCTAGAAAGCCCGTCCTTGTGAACTATCACGGGTCGCTTGCCGTTATATTACAAAATGGTTGTCTTGGTTGGAAGGATATTGAGCCTAGTTATGATGAAAAGGAGAATAATAGTAATCCTTTGTGGTTCGGGATTTGGGTGTGGAGCCACGTGGACCGTAGCTGGTCTTACGCGTCAACGGCTCGTCTCCCGGTGAATGCTGATGACACCGAGGTTGTGGGCCTATGCAATAATAGTGACAAAGTGATTCTCCTCGACTCTGAGGGCACGATTCTGCTTTACGATTGTGGGACGACCGAGTTGGAGAGTTTCGGCGTAATGGAAGGATGGTGGTCCCATTTTCTATCTGTTGCACCTATTCTCTGGATGGTTACACTTTCGGGTATTACTTATTATCTTCTTAAAAACTTTTGATTGATAGGGTAATTAGGCCTCTTGTTAGAAACACGTTTCTCTTCAACGATTTTTATTAAATAATTATTTTGTTTCCGGCTGTGAGAAAACCTATTAACCAAATACCACCATTTTCACAAGAAAATTCAAGAGTACTCCATATAACTATATTGATGCTATTAACACAACAAACCTACAATGATGCTAATAACACAACCACAATTACCATTGCCACCACCATCAATAACGCGGCAGAGACAACCGAGCCTCGTTGACGGTGATGTTCCAGGTGCGGAGCTCCTGACCATCCATCCTCGTGAAACCTCTCAATCTCTCAGTCTCGTAGTCGTTGATGATCTTACGCAGCACAAATAACAATAAAAAATCACATCCCAGTGAAATTGTAACAAAGTATTTGATATGTAAACCAACAGGTTTCCAACTTCTCACAGCGCCGTTTGTTTCGAGTGAAATGAGAGGCAATGAAGGAACCTTTAATTGATAAGGCCAGCTTCATCTTTTACTTTGTCACCCGTTTTCCACACTATATCTTTGAGCTAGCCCGGTTGAGAGGTTCTTATAGAACTGCATACGAAGGAACCCAAGCATATAGAATATTACACATTAAAAAAAAATTATTACAAAATAAATATAAGTGAAATGGTTGAGTAAATCTTCTCTAAATATTGTGATAACCGAAAAGGTTGCTGAAAATGTAATATTAATGTGAAGAATATTGATAAAATTGTCCAGACATTCATAACGTGTTTTTCCCACTAGTTATCACCTTGTGAAATTCTAATGTGTCGCCCTTTTTATCGAGACTGACATTAACAATACGTGCACTTGCATCCAAAGGTCTGAATACATGAATCATGGCCTTGATCATATTTTTGGTCCCAAAGTAGTTGGTACGTACCGATGTCTTTTTCTGCATACTCTACAGAGTGGTCTGATCCCGCGTTAAAATTTAGTCCTGCAATGTGTACCTACAAATTTTTACTGATAATGTGAATCAACTTAGAATATGACATAGGAGGAGAAGTTCGTTCACTTGACCAATATATCCATGCCTCCATATTTTGGTGGGAAAGAGAGTCCGAAGCTCCCACATTGATTCGTAACCCTGGTTTAGCTTTGCTCACATTGATTCGCTCATATGTCTTCGCACACATGGATTCGTGAAATTATATCACTACCTTGTTCACCATTTTTCCTGATAACACAAAGGTAAAGTCAATTATAACAACCACCTAACACTTAGAACTTGCAGCATAACATTCTCAAGAAACTAATTTCCAATGCAGAACCTCCAAACACCAATTACAAAATTGAGGTTACCAAAACGAGTCATTCGACAGAGAAAATGCAAGAGTCAAAATAAAAAGGCGTCGGCGTTAGGTTTTCGAGGGGCGATGAAATATTAGGTTTACCTTAGTGGTTAAAGAAGCCCAGTTCTCGGAGAACAGGCCAGCGGAATTCACCGATCGTTACAAAATTGAAAGCGGCCACGTGACAGCCTCACAAAGGGAATGCATGTTTTCAGATAAGATAGATAGATAGAAGAGGTAAGATTATGTTAGAAACATCTTCTTATTAAATCAACACTAGTTTAAAAGCATAAAACAATACCTTATATATGGACATGTCTATGAGTCCCACAATACGTGTTATTTGAATATCAGCACAAATTCAAAAGCACACAAAACAAGACATAATACATGTAATATTTGAATACCAACACAATTTCAAAAGAACAAAACAAGACCTCGTCGAAGGAGGATGTCGACGAGTCCCTGCAATACACGTAAAATCGTTGTTCAAACAACGTCAAGTTTAGAAGAAAAAGAAAACGGAGAAACTCTCATCATGAGACAATATGCTCGGCAAGACTGAGAATCTTGAGTTGTTTCTTTTTGCTCAGCTCATGGAGAACCTGGCCAAACACTCGTGTCCTGATCGGCTCACTCGATCGCGTTATCATCAAACTTGACGACTTCACTCCCATCACACCTTCCACCCACGACATTGGCCCGTTCGGGACAGGCCCATGTCCGTCGTATGGTTGAGATGTGGCCGTGAGGAGGATTGAATCTGTTGAATAATTTTGAGCAGAGATTATTAATTTTGTTTGAGAAATGAGGAGAGATTATTAGAGGAAGGGAAATGTAGGAACTTAGTTTAATTGGCAGATAGACATGCCATGTTAGCAAAACAGTATAGAATAATCAACTATTTGTTTTATTGTATGGTTTTTAATAAACTTTGTTATAAACATGAAGAGAAGTGCTTTGTTTTTGGTATAATATGAAACATTTAATATACGTTAATATTTAATGAATAAAATTACTTTGATAATTTATTATTATAATTTAATTAAAAGTATGTTAGCATACATGAAGCTAATAATATTTTTGTTTAAATTCACCTTTATAAATTTTGATTTTACCTTTTGAAAATTTATATATAAACGAACAAACGGCCATCTCTCCATAAAAATCAAGACTAAATTGGAAATTTTAAATAATTATTTATGTAAATTATCCAGTTGTTCAGTCTCTATAAAAAATCATGATACAATTCGTTTCTCTCTAAAATAAATAAATCAGCATTTAGAAAACAAATAATAAATCTATCTATATATTAAAAGAATAACCTTTTAAGGATTCCCGCAAAAAATTGTCGCCAAAAACAATAAATGCATATGTTTTTTTTTTTTTTAAATTTTCGGTCCAAAATAAGCGTAGATCCCTTTTTTTTTCTTGGATTTTTTAAACATAACTAGTATGTAACCCGTGCGATGCACGGGCTGTATTTATTTTTAAAAATAATTATAAGTTGAAATCTATTACTAAATAAATTATATTTCGTAAGACATTTGCAAAGTAATCATAATTTTTTTCGTTGGTAATAATAAGTCATACATTATTAAAAGTCTCATTGTACACAACATTATTAATTTGATTACTGGGTAACTCATCGTCCCCACAAACTAATATTTTCAATCACTTCCTAATAGTTGCACATGAAACAACAACATATAATTTACGGTTACTAAAAAACGATTTCTTCAAGAACAACTATATGCGATAAAGACTAACCCTGACAATATGTGGTTTTATATTTTTGTATAAGATGCTTTTATCGTATGAGTTTGATTGGATGTTTATAAGTCTCACATTCGTGTCAAAACAAAAAATATGGTATGAAATTGAAGTGATAATATTTCTTTGTGTGGCAATATCACATATTTTGTTTATTCGGATGATACCAAAATAAAAAATATTTTCACCACAAATATTATGATATCGTAAAGAAAAGATCGTTAAAAATCTCAAATTTAGTTAGCATAATTTGTAGTTGAATAGAACCGAATAATATGGCAGTATTATTAAACAAATTATTACTATGATCAGTGGATTTTATGTTTATCTTTTATATTCTCTTAGTCTCATTTAATCATCATATTGATTCCAATATTTGGAATAAATTTGATTGTATTTGCATAACAATATACAAAAAAAAGTTCTTACGTTCAAGTAAGAGATTATTTTTATGAATATAAACACTTGTAAATCAAATTTCTATAAAAATTGCATTTCATATTTATCTTTTTTATTTTAGCATTCTCATTGATTTTGTGTTTATTTATTTTTATACTCGTAGTTTCATTTTATGGCCAAATTATTCCAATCTTTGGAATAAATATAAAATGTAATATTTAAAATACGTTTGTTACGTTTAAAAAGAGTTTTACATTGTATCTATTGCATAACAATATTGAAAAAATATTATTAAGTTCAAATAAGAGATTTATTTATGAATAAAAACACTTGTAAATCAGCTTTCCATAGACATTGCATTTCGTATTTATCTTATTTTATTATAGCATCTTGTAGTACAAACAATTAATATGAGAAACGTGTGTGAATTAAATTTTATTACGAATAAAAAATTAAAATAAAAATAAAATTTTATTTGTGTATATCTAAAAAGATGTTTCACCACAAAATTGTGATACAATAAAAAAAAAGGTTCGTTGAAAATTTTGATTTAGTTTGTATGCCTTGTAGTTGAAAATGATAAATATTAATAAAAAAAATTCTTATTCTCAAAGTAAAATAAAAAAACACAAATCCATAAAAGAAAAATATATAAATCAGAGAATAAAACAACAATATTAAATAAATAAAATAAAAATCTACAATTGATGTAGAAAAAAATTATTCCATGTAAAAAAACTCCAAAAATCCGAGGAGAAACAAAAGAAAATAGAGATGTTACACAAAAAGAATATAATGTTCGGGTTCTTCTCTTGCTGGCAATTTTTTTTATTCTCTCAAAAATTTTATAGTTCTTGTAATGAATTTCTGTTGAAATTTATTCCAAAAATTCGAGGTTTTCAATTGTTGAAATCATATGGTATAATATCACTGTAATTATAGCTAAGTACAATGGACCCTAAAAGATGGTCAATGATTTTTGATTTATACATATGATGATACGTATTATTCACGATGAATTCTAGTTTCATTTTATGTATATTTGGAATGTTATGGTCAAATTTTCCTATGTAATTAACTCATATTTGTCCCTTCTTTAATTGCCTGATATTTTAGCTTCTAGAATATTTCTACCATTTTTATTCCAATTATTTGTTAATATTACTTTTGAATTTGAGAATTAATTTTTTTTTTTTTTGGTACAGGGACCTTCCGGTTTTCGGATCCACAGGGGAACCGACTAATCCGGAATCGGGCCGGGTAGGACCACAAGGGCGGCAAAGCTCTCCCTCAAGAGTTTTAACACTGCTGAATTAATTTTTTCTTTGATTTAGAAAGTAATGATTTCATGAAGTGAATTTTAATAATCCTCCATATACTAATATGACTTTACTGTAGTATTTATGAGATTTATATAAGATTTATTTTACCCTTATTTTATAAGAATAAAATAAAATATACAAATTAAATGAGATTTGTGTATATATAGAATTCTTGTACCACAAAATTATGTTACCATAATAATAATGGTTTACCTTAAAAATTAATTTTAACAAAATTAATACAAACAGAATCCCTTTTTTCATGGATCCCTTTCCTAAGCAATGAATTTTTTTATTTTTTTTGATTTTGTATTTAATATGTGTGTGATAATTATATTATGGAAAGTCATTAATTATTTTGGCGGGAAATTCTTACTAAAAATGAATTAAGTTAATCCTTATTATATATAGATAGATTTCAATCATGCATCCTAAAATCTTGGCATTTGTTTAATCTTAGATATCAGATTGCATACACACGCGAAGACCAAATCGAGATAATTTTATTCGTCCACCATTAGATGCAATTTTTTTTTAATCAAAACTTCAATAAACATTTATGCATCCTAAAATTTTGGGATTTATTTAATAATGCCTCATCCAATATTTTGACTACCAATTATTTAACATTAAATTAGCATTCAAATCAAATAGAAAATTCAAATTTCTTATACATCAATAATATATTACATTAGATAATTAGAATAATAAAAAATAAAGTTCAACATGTATTATAATCATTCACGTCCATCTATTCATCCACCAATGTAAAAATACGAACAAGTAATATAATCATCCGCATCCATCTATTCATCCACCAATGTAAAAATACAAACATTTCATATGAATTTTAACATTTTCTGTATCATATTTTATATTTTCATTTTTTTTTTATATTTTATTAAGCAAGTTTATATATTTGACATAAAATCAAATAATGTTGTTTTTTAAAAATTTTAATTTATGTCGATTTATATTTATAATAATCTATATAAATAAAGAGACAACCTATTAATAAAAAATAATAACAAGAATAGTTAACCAGCATTTATTTCATTTTATTTTTGGCAATTTTTATTTTTTTCTAAAAAAATTATTCCTAAAAAACCAATCAGCTATATATGCAACCTAAAGTCATGGGTTTCGTAGATTTAATTTAGTTAAACTTCGACTGATGCTTACAATTTTGCAAAAGTCAAAATTCTTTCTTATTTTTTATTAAAAAAATTGATTACCATAACATCAAAAATTTTGAATTAGGCAAAATGTTATCGTATTTATCTTTTACTAATTGCGACATATTAATTGTTTATTAAAAAAATTAGATTGCGTAGAAATCGGGTTAACTTGTGTAAATTCGGCACGACAATTTTGTAAAAGTAAAATTTCTCTCATTATTTATTAAAAAAATATGTTTACCATAATTTCGAATTAAACAAAATACTATAACATGTAGTTTACCTAATTGCAACATATCATGTTTATTAAAAAAAAATCGGACTGCATATAAATCTGGCCCAATTTCAAATTAAAAATTAAAATTAAAAAACCCCTTATCATTTAGCTTTTAGTTTCTTTAGTTCATATGTTTTTTTAAACATAAAATAGATCTAAATAATAAAAATTTGTTTTGAGTTTTGTTTAATCCTCTATAATACAAATTTAAGTTTCTTTAGTTCATATTTTTTTAAACATAAAATAGATCTAAATCTTTAGTTCATAATGAGTTTTGTTAAATCCTCTATAATACAAATTTGAAATTGATTGCATACACTTACAAAATAAATAATAATTGCATATACTTACAAAATGTTATATATATCAAGCTAAATAAATAATTGTTCCTAATATAATTTTATAATTTAAGGTGATAGACGATGTACCAAAGGACGAAACAAATATTTTTGAGTACAATGATGCGTTTAATAATATATAAGTTACCTTTTGTTTATTCCAATACTTGCGTTTTACGTTCTTCCAATCATCGAATCATCCAAATTTAAATGTTTACCTTAATAAAACTAGCCCGTGCAACACACGGGTACCGCACTAGTAAAAATATAAAATGAACAACTATTATTTTCTTTTTGGTTGACGAGTGACAACATTGAATAGTTTTACCACCCATCTAATAATTTATTAATTTTTTTTTTTTTTTTTTGTATATTTAGTTTTTTATTGTAGGTCCTAATTTATTTACATTTTTTTTGTGCACAATTCTCATTTTATACAATTTTTAGAATC